GAAACGTCGGCGAATATAATTCTCTACCGACATCGCTGTGTTATTAACTCTATAACTTTTGCAACAGTTAAAGTAAGTTGAGAAACCCCAAACAACTCTCTGATTGCATATCGTTAGTGGTACGAGTTCGTCTATCCAACCGAGGACCGCCAATTAGACTGAACGGGAAAGTATCACTCACCTGACCTCAAGTAATCAGACTGGTTTACTGACCTATACATATGCATCACCATCGCTAGCTTATTGGGAAAGTATCATATGTAACTGATCGTAATCTTGCATCACTCTAAGGAAATGCAACACCATAAAAATTATTCACAAATTAAAAAATGCATTTTGCTCTTCACACATACATAGCCGATAAGTGAGAATTTCAATTAGCAAACCAATTTGATCATTCGTATACAGTGACTTCGACGGATGAGAAGCATCTTTTTCAATGGTGAAATCCTAAATGCATTTGACAAAAATAGCTGGTACGCACACTGTGTGTATGCGTATGAGTTCTACCAAGGCACTCCATTTGTCTCAGCCAGGTGGGGTGGATTGATAATTCCCTTGATCGATAAGCGATCACAACCGATGGTATTCAATAAAAATAATGTCGCTTGACCGAAATGGATTTTTACATTTAATATTCAATGTAAAGCAGTTTTATTTGTCAATAATTATGGCATTTCGGAGGTTAAGACTACTGGAACGTGATATTCTACAAATATATATGTAGGTGTTCTCATTCATGTACAACTTATGAACTTTTGTTGTCTGGGGTAGACCCTAACGTTCCTCATTGAGCATGGTAACCTGGTAACGCGTTGTCGTGCAATTTTTTCTGCTCCTCATTGAATCCTATGCAGTGCCGGAATATTTAGACTTTACATGTGCACCAAATTTAAAATATGTTCTTAGGATGTAAGTAATCCTGAACGCAAACTGAATCGATCAATTTAATAACCACGACAGGTGAATTTTGTTTTCGTTTGTTCAAAATGTTCTTTTGAAATGTGCACGAGATTCTGATAAATTTCAGCTTGTTTTATCACTTGAGAAAAAAATAATACATTTGTGATTAATTATTTTTCTCTGGTCCCTAGATTGGTGGAGTTCGTTGCTTCAACTAATCCATCTGATGATTTTATCGTGTTCAACAGCGGAACAACTATTTTTATACTGTCTTTTTTATTTGCACCCACTACGTGAGATGTACGTTTCCACACTCTGCCATAATGTACCATAATACTTTCCCAAATACCTTGACAGATACCATCAACTTTAATCACGACCTCCTTCCTTGAAACGCACCATTGGAAGATTCCTTTATCCGATATTTGCAGAAAACCTTTGATCTATATCATGATTATCCCATTGGGACAACTCATCTTTTTCTGGGGGATTGCCTGTTCAAATGAAAGATTATGACTACAATTTTTCGTGTCCTTTATTCTGTGATACACGACGACCTTCAACAACCGTGGGTCACATTGATGCATCATTTGGCACAGATCGAATGCTGCATAAAAAGACCGACAACTTTACAAGTCAAGTCAAGTCAGTAGTAGCTTAATCCACCCGGATGGGTGTATTTTCAGCAATTACACCATATTTGTGGATTCAAATTTACAAAATCATTACATAATGAAACTGAAAGCAATTAGGTGTTTGTCAACGAAGCAAGCGGTTGCGCAATTCTGTGGAAATTGTATCCTTGTCTATAAGTAGACGTGCTAGATATGGCAGAACAGAATTGCGATAAGCACAGGTACGTGCAAATATAAGTTTAAATCTTGAGCATGTGGATGATGTAGATACAGCTTTTGCAAATTCATTATGTAATGGGTGGTGAGTGTCTGAGAGTATTTTGGCGGTGAAATTTTCACATGCTTGTAGGTGTCTGTCAATGATAGAATCGGCCGGTTTATCTCTGACAATGCCACTACATTTAGAGATGTATTTCAGAGATCTCACCGGTAAATGAAAGTCTTTCTTCAACATACCGGGAAAAATTACTGGAGAGCAATACAACCAGTGGGGTAGCACGCATACATTCACAAATCTAACAATCAGCTTTTGGGGAACAGAAAGTAATCTCAATCGGAGTGAGAAATATGAAAGCTTTCTAACTTTACAGAATGTGTTTTGAACGTGCAGTGACCATGATAAATTGTGTGATAGGGTGACGCCAAGGTATTGTACTATTTCTGATTTCGGTAGGGGTTGTTGATTTGCAGAGAGGGGGGAACCTATCTATAAGGGCTAAATATGGTACATCGGCCAATAGGGAAAACACAACATCCTGATATTTAGGGGCATTCAATGAGAGGGAACGGGACAAGGATCAAGTGATAACGTCATTCAGCTTGCTTTGAATTTCGAAAGCCTCTTCTGGGGTGGATGCTTTGCAACCTATAACAACGTCATCAGCGTACTTGCAGCCAATGAATGCAGGAGAAATGGGAAATTGTTTGACATACATAGAAAAGAAAAATATGGGGAAAATATTGCACCTTGCAAGACACCAGAAGAAACTGGGCCAGTGGAGGACTTTTTTCCGTTAAAACATGTAAACTGCTTTCTGTCTGTGAAATAATCACAGATCAGTCTGCTGACGTTTGAATTTACACCACTTTCAGTAATCAGGTTGAGCAATACTGATCGATAAAGACTGCCGGAAGCGTTTTTGTAGTCTAGGAGCATCATTCTGACGGTCTTAGTTTTCTTATCTAGTGCCGAGATTATTGAATGAACGAGACATGCAACGGCGTCCAGTGTTGACCGCGAGGAGCGATATGCAAACTGATATATGTCTTCTTCGTCAGATGCAGTGGCAACCCACGGTAATAAGCATCTCTCAAATAATTTGAGCAAGATTGGCGTGCAGGCGATGGGACGATATTTCCCAGGTTCCTTTTTTGGAACGGGAGTTATCTTGGCCAGTCTCCAAATATCAGGAATTTTTCCACTTGTGAGACAGTCGTTGAATATTTTTGACAATGGGGCTGAAAGGGTATTCGCACATACTTTGAGTACTACTGGTGATAGTTCATCAGGGCCCGATGCTTTATTCAACTTAGTTTTTAGTAGCTGTTTCAGGACTGTGGCGGGTTCGATAGTTGGTGTTGGCATAGAGCTCACTAAGTCTGACAGGGCAGCACCGTGAAACTGGACTAAACTCAGAATTTAGTCTTTCAATATCGACAGTTCCCTTTTTGTATTTACGGCTACTGCCACACAATCGGTTGATAGCTCTCCACATTCCACGACAACTAGAGTTTCCCAGGATAGTGTCGATGTACAGTTTGTTCAACAAAGTAAATTTTCAATCGATTCGGTGAATCGGGGTTGTAGATTGAATGTGTCCCAAGTTCTTTTGATTAATAATGGAAAAATAAATAAATAAATATTTTTACGAGGTAATTGCGTTCGGATCCGGGAGGATTTACCATTTCAACTTACTATAGCATTCACACACGGCACCACCATACCCAGGGTGAAAATAGACAGTATTGGTCCACCAATCGCACCGAACAAGCTGAACGCGAATTGCAAAACGCCGGAACTGACCAAGGTGAATACAAATGCGAAACCGACAGTGGACAATCCGACCAAAGCAGCTGAACAGCGGGACAGAAGCAGGAGCTAGTGTATCAAATTGAAATAGTTTGAAATGCAGTTTATCGTCCAATTTAGGCTTTTCAGATGATAGGATTAGATCAATCCACCCGCGGTCCACTAAATATCAAGCTTCTAGTTACAGTGATACATGTGCCCATACTTAAACTACTTTTTCTCTAGAATTTAGAATCCTTTTGGTACCGAAGGGTTGTTAAATAAGGTGGTTTCTGAGAGTACCTCTATCCGTTTTTTGATCTTTCATTTATTGGGTCAACGGATGAAAAATGACATGCGGATTTTCAGTTTCATTTTAAGATCACCGATAAAAGTGTCAAATGAATCAGTAACTTCTTGCCGAGCAGTGCGGCCTCATTTACATGAGCATTCCTGATAGGGGAAACGGGGGCGGGAGGTAAGCCCACACGCGACTGGCGAATGATGGACGATTAACTGACTCCCCATCGTGAATGAGCCTGTTTTTCAGTGGTTAACTTCCAGATAGTTCAACCAAAACTGCAGGTTGAATTTTGATTGTTTTTCTTGTAGATCGATTGATCTTTCCTTGCATCTTCCGTATTACCTGAATCATGTACTCATGTCAAGCCAAGAAGCGGCTTTAATTCTCCCTATAGGGGATGAACATTCAGCTACTACACATTCTTCTTTGGGAATTACATGGTAACAAAACGTATGATGATACGTTACATATACAAAAAGCCAATTTAGCAAAGATTTTGTGTGAGTCCTAATGACAAGATCAGCGTTGGTAAGAAACCGTGCCAGGTACGGTACGAGTGCTAGATGTGGAGATACATTGACTAAGGTGCGGGTACAGTGGGTGAGATGG